GAGCGCTGCTGGGGTGTGGGGTGGGACACACAGTGGGAGTTTTATTTTGTGGCAGCAAAACCCTGCTGGGGCTGCACTGGCCTGCCCTGGGTGGCCAGACACCTTCGGCAACCTCCCATGTTTGGGGAAACCTATGGAAACCAGGAGGAACAACCTTGTTCTGTGGCTGGGGCCACTCCAGGGCTGGGCTCTTTCTGGAAGCCAGGCAACCTGCTGTTTGTCTATTAATCCGTGGAACTCCTGGGATTCAACTTTCAGCCTTGTCCTTGTCCCCAGGTGCTGTGACAAGAGATTGTGGACAAAGATAGACTTGAGCAGGTGCAAGTCCATCACCCCCCAGGCACTGAGTGGCATCATCAAAAGGCAGCCGGTCAGCCTCGACCTCAGCTGGACCAATATCTCAAAAAAACAGCTTACATGGCTCGTCAACAGGCTGCCAGGTGAGTGTGGGCTGGGGAAGGTCCCTTCCTCTGCCACCAGCCTGCTCCAAGGCTTCCTGAAGGCTAGGTCATGGGGAGAGACACCCTGCAATCCTGGGAACTCCTGAGTGCCTGGGTCCCATCACCCAGCAACTGTCCCACCCCAGGCAGGGAGGGGACCTGCTTCCTCACGTGCCTGGAAAAAGATGGTGGAGATCTGGGATGCCTGGGAGCCGACCAAACCCGTCTAACTTGTTACCTGCCTCCCTTCTGCCAGGCCTGAAAGACCTCATCCTAGCAGGCTGTTCCTGGTCTGCGGTCTGTGCTCTCAGTACCTCCAGCTGCCCCCTTCTCAGGACCCTCGATCTTCGGTGGGCAGTAGGAATCAAGGACCCTCAGATCCGGGACTTACTCACGCCTCCAACAGACAAACCCAGTAAGCTGCTGCTGCCCTGGGGCTGGCTGGGCTGGACAAGGGAAGGTCCCCAGGGCAGTCTGTCCACTCTCCGTGTCCTTCTGCCTGTGCAGGTCAGGACAATCGCAGCAAACTCCGCAACATGATTGACTTCCGGCTCGCTGGGCTGGACATCACGGACGCCACGCTGCGCCTGATCATCCGCCATATGCCCCTGCTCTCCCGCCTCGACCTCAGCCACTGCAACCACCTCACGGACCAGTCGGCCAACCTCCTCACCGCCGTGGGCTCCTCCACACGCAACTCCCTCACCGAGCTCAACATGGCAGGTGAGTGCCTTGCTCCAGGTGTTCCTGGATTTCCCGTTCCTCCTGCCAGTGCTGGCTGCTGGAGGTGTCCCCCTCACGCTCCCTGTGTTTTTCCCACAGGCTGCAATAAGCTGACGGACCAGGCCTTGCTGTACCTGCGTCGCATCTCCAACGTCACCCTCATCGACCTGCGGGGTTGCAAACAGATCACCCGCAAAGCCTGTGAGCACTTCATCTCGGACCTGTCCATCAACAGCCTCTACTGCCTGTCCGATGAGAAGCTGATCCAAAAAATCAGCTAGAGACCCTCCCCGGGGCAGACTGAGGAGAAGGAAAAGAGCCCATCCCACCCCTCTCGGAGAGCCGCTCCTCCACCTCCCCCCCTTGCCCTGCGTGTCCTGCCGCTGCCTCCTACCTGACTCGGCAGGCAGGGCCATCGCTGGCCTCGTTCCACTGTCCTTCCTCCTCCTCCTTCCCCGGGACTTCTGCCGAGGAAGATGTCCCGCCAGGCTGGCCAGTACTAGAGGAGGAACGGGCACATGGCAGGGAGCCTGGGCCCGGAGGCTGGCCGCTCCCGAGGCGGGGCTGTAACAGAGGCCTCTGTGCAGAGAAATGGGGCACCCTCTCCCCCCAGCTTTTCCTCTCCCCGTCGTCTCCTTGCCTTGAAACACTTGTCACTTCCCCGGTAGCACAAAGCTTGAGGGTCGAGGTCTCTCCAAGGAAGCAGGAGCAGAGCCAGAACACCCCGTCCCCCTCTGTGCCGCCACCAGCTCGGTGCTTCCCTGCGCCTTCCCCCCACTTCCCCTTCCCCTCGTCTGGCTGCAGGGACTGCTATCCATCCCCCTCCTCGTCCCACACATCGGGCGGTTCTTTGGGCGCCCAGGGCAGGAGCCCCGTGGCTGGGGTGTCCCGGGAGCAGGGGCTGGGGGATGACTTGTCTGTCCGAGGGGATGGAGCAGGGGAGAACCCACAGGTACATCAGAGCTCAGGGAGGACTCGGGAAGCATCAGCCAGGGGTGAGTGAGCACGGGGCGGGGACAGGAGCTGCCTCCTCTTCCTCCCCAGCTCCCGGCACCATGAAGCACTCTGGGGCCGGAGGGGCGAGGGCTGCTCTGCAGCCTGGGACCGAACTAGCATCGTCCTCTCCTTCCACCCCACCCCCTTTTCGCTGCCGATTTTCCTTTGCAATGAATGGTTGGTCCAAAGAACCTCTCTCTAGGGCAGCAGAGAGCTTTTTGCACTTTAAAAAAAAAAACAACAAAAAAAAGACAAAAAAACAAAACAACAAAAAAAGACAAGAAAAAAAAAAAGAAAGGAAAAAAGGTTGGAATCTTCTTTTTCTGGGTCACTATTTTATTTCCCTCCCTGTCCTGTCTGTGCCTGGACGCTCCCCCTCTCTGTCCCCCCGGTGTCAGCACCCTGCTCTCTCCCTGGCAGCGTACCGATAGCACAATCCGGGGTGTCCCCTCCGTGCCACCACCGGTCCCCAGCCCCGCAGGGGTCCCTGGGGGGCAGCCCGCACCCCCCTGCTGCTTCAGAAGCAATAAAGGAGGAGAGGCGGCCCGCGGGGACTGTCCCCGCACGGGGACACGAGGGGACAATCCCGCAGTGCCTGGGACAAGGGGCAGCGTGGCCGAAGCGGAGCCGGAGGGCTCGGAGCAGGAAACCCCCCCCCCCAGGCGAGAGGAGGAGCCTTCGGCCTCGGCCTCTCTCGGCGGTGGCTCCCGGGAAAGACGTCGGAAGAATTAAAGCTTTTCTTTTTCCTTTGGATTCCTTTTGAGTTTTGCAACGCGAAAGAAAAATTTCCAGAGCTGGGGGTGAGAGGGGCGAGATGGTCCCTCCTCTGCGGGGACAGCACCCTCTGCCCGCCGTGTCCCCGCCTCTCCAGCCGCAGAGACTCCAGCGTGCGACCCTCCTCACCACCCCGGCGTGGTGCAAATCCACGAGGAAGAAAAAAAGAGAATTATATATAATAAAAAAATCACTTAGTGATTTAAAACCAACCCAGCCTGCTCCCTAAAGACAACTCCTGCAAGCAAAGTCACTTGTTTAAGGGTTTGGTTGTGGTTTTGTTTTGTTTCGATCCCCCTTTCCCTCCCTTCCTCCTTCCCTCCCTTCCCCGGAGAAATATTGTAAATATCTATTTTTTTGTTGGCGATTTAGAGTCCATCTCTGATGTTTGTGCTTTAAAATTAAATGTAAGCATTAAGGGTAAAAGCAAACCAAGTCTTGCACTCTCTCAGCTGGGGTTGGCGGTTCTTGGCTGGGGCAGAGGGAGGGCACCTATTTGGCAAATGGGTTTGGTTTTCTTTTTTTTCCTTTTTTTTTCCCTTTTTTTTGTTTTTTGTATTTTGGGGGTTTTTGCTTCCTGAGCCTTCTCCCATCCTAGATTTTTAGAGAGCCTCTTTGCTCATACCATATTACCACCAGGCTGGGCGAGCTGTTGTGGGGGGAGGGAAAAACCCCAGCCTCCCAAGGGAAATATTTTTATTTCTTGGGGGTGGACTTTTGGAATTAAAAAAAAAAAAAAAAAAGGTAAAAAAAAAAAGACCAACTAGAATCCATGAGTGTGAGCTCTGCCCCTTTGTTTGTGAGGGAAGTGGAGGGGACAAGGCCAGGGCTGGGACCTCCTGTGTCCCCCCTGTCCCCAGTACTGGGGCTCTCTCAGCTGCTCAAAACTGGAGCACTGTCGGTGGTGGCAGCTGTCCCGGTGTCCCCACTGTCTCCTGGCAGGTGGTGGCAGCTGTCCCTGTGTCTCATCACCTCCTGCCAGGGCCACAGGTTCTCCAGAGGCCTCTGGGGCTTTTGCTTTCCACATCCCTTGAGAAACCTGCCCTCTCCCAGTGGATTCCTGGGCCACCAGGGTGACATTTAGTGTCCCCCACCCTATGGGGATGTCAGGCCCAGGTCTCCGCGGCAGCTGGGCTGTGACATTTGCATGGAGGCACACAGCAGGTGACATCATCCTTCACAGGTGGCTGAGGCCACAGTCACCCTCCTGTGCCCTGGTCTCCAAGTTGCCACCACGTGCCTCCCGCAGTGATGCACCAGAGCCAAGCGAATCTCAGCGCCCCAACCCCCTGCCTGTCCCCTCCAGGTGTCCCCTCCTGGCCCCGGGGACAGGTAGCCTGCACACGGTGCCATACGCGCATGGTCACAGCTGCTGCCACGCACGGCAAATACGGTCACACACTGTGTGGTGTGGAATGACACACACGATGTCACACACAGACAGAGCCACTGTCACACACACCTGTGGTGTCTCACACAGTGTCACACACAAAGGCACACAAACAGAGACGGTGTCACACCCCGACGCTGGCACACACACCCAATGTCACACACATACACCCAGTGCCACACACCCGGTGTCACACATATATACCCAGTGTCACATACTCGGTGACACACATACACACCCGGTGTCACACACAGTGCCAAACACACAGTATCACACACATATACCCGGTGTCACACACAGTGTCACACACACGCATCCAGTGCCACACACCCGGTGTCACACACATACACCCAGGGTCACACACCCAGGGTCACACACACCGCCAGTGCCACAGCCGGTGTCACGGCCCCTCCCGGGCGGGCGTGGCACCGGCGCTGTCCCCGCCCAGCCGCGCTGTCCCCGCCCCGCTGCCGGTGCGGCCGCGCCCCGTTCCGCGCTCCGCTCCCGCCGCTCCGGGCGCTGCCTCCGCCCGCGTCCCGGCGCCGCCGAGCCCCTCCCGGCCGCTCCCCGCTCCTCCGCCCGGCTCCTCTCCGGCCCCGTTCCGCTTCCGGGCGCGGTTCCGGTTCCGGGGCCGGCGGGTCGGGTCGGGCCGGGGCCGGTGCGGCGCCGGCGGCGGGGCCGGCGGCGCGGCACGATGGCGGACCTGGAGGCGGTGCTGGCGGACGTGAGTTACCTGATGGCCATGGAGAAGAGCCGCGCCGCGCCCGCCGCCCGCGCCAGCAAGAGGATCGTCCTGCCCGAGCCCAGGTGAGGCCCCGCTGCTGCCCCTCCTCTTGTCCGTCTGTCCGTCCGTCTGTCCGTCCGCCCCCGGCACCGCCACCCTCGGTCCCTTGGTCACCCCTTCCTGGCACCGCCCGCACGCGCCCGCGGGACACCGACACCTCCCGCACACGTGTGTGTGCCGGTCACACCTGCCCGGACACACGGATGTGGACACACGGATGTGGACACAGAGATGTGGACACACAGGGATATGGACACACGGATATGGACACACAAATGTGGAGACAGACAGGCACAGAGACGCACAGATATGGACGCACACGGATATGGACACACACGCGGATATGGACACACATGCGTCACGCCTGTTGCACAGACAGACACACGGACACACACACACATCCTGCCAGACACAGGGACACACAAACACGGACACATGGACACGGACACACATCCTGCCAGACACACAGTCACACCCAGCTGCATGTCCCCTCTGTCGCCGCTGTGTCACACCCATGTGTACACACACACACACCCCTGTACCCAGGTGTGCAGAGGGTCACGGTCCCCACTCGCCATGCCAGATCCCAGTGCCCCCCTGTGCCTTCACTGCCAGGCACCTCTGAAGCTTTTTAGCGGGGACACTTGTCCTCACCCTCCCTTGGGCCCCAGTGCGTGGGACACACTGTGATCCTGGCACCCAGCAACGTGCCACGCTTGGGTGGGGACACACAGGATGGTAGGACATGCATGCTACCGGGGCTTGGGGACACGGGAGGAGGAGGAGAAGGACGGGTGGGGAGCAGAGTCCATCAGAGGGCATGGCTGAGCCCCTCCGGTGTGTCCCCAGCATCCGCAGCGTCATGCAGAAGTACCTGGAGGACCGGGGAGAGGTGACATTTGACAAGATCTTCACGCAGAAGATTGGTGAGCTGGGGACACAGGGGCTGTGGGGGACATGAGAGGCCACCTGGGCCAGCACCCACAAGCACGGGGCAAGTGTGGGTGGGCTGAGGAGCTGCACTGGTGGCCACCATCACAGCAAGAGTGGCCATGGGAATGGCAGGGGGGTTGTGGGGCAGGCTGGACACTGGTGCTGGGGGGCTGCGCCACATTCCCCACCCTGTGTCCCCTGCCCTGTCACTTCCCCCCACACCAGCGCAAACCGTCCGGGGCAGGAAGCGCCTCTCACTTCCTCCTGCCGGCTCCGGCGGTTTCCGGGCACGTCCGCCCTGCTCCGTGTGCCCGCCCGTGCCCCTGCCCCCACTGTGCCCCACAGCAGCCCCCTCACTGCCCCGTGGTGTCCCAGGGTGCTGCTCCCCATGCCAGCCGTGTCCTTGTCACCCTGTCACCGTGCCAAGCCCTCACCGGTCCCTGCTTGGCACTTCCCCAAGCCTGGCACTGGGGTGGCAGCAGGGCTGGGCAGGCCCAGGGGATGTCCCTGTGTTCCTTGGCTTGGGCTGAGAGGCTGTCATCTTTCACACTGTGACTCTGTCCCTGCAGGCTACCTGCTTTTCCGGGATTTTGCCTTCAACCAGGCTGAGGAGGCCAAGCCCCTGATGGAATTTTACGAGGAGGTGAGACAGGAGGACTCAGGGGACATCCCCCTGTGTGCACCAGGAGCGGGGTTGGTACCTCCATGGACACAGTGCCAGGAGCACCACCTGAGATGATAGTGCCCAGGGAGAGCTGGAGATACTGTCCAAGGGGATGGGATAACCTCTGCCATGGGACATGGCACCCAGAGGGGCCACAATTCCCAGCATTCCACGTGCCCCTGTCCCCTCTCCAGATCAAGAAGTACGAGAAGCTGGACTCGGAGGAGGAGCGAGCTACCCGCAGCCGCCACATCTTCGACCATTACATCATGAAGGAGCTGCTGGCCTGCTCCCATGTGAGTGCCAGGCAGCCAGCTGGGAGGGATGTCCCCACTGTCCCCACAGTGTCCTGAGGGAGACAAAACCTCCACAGACTCCATCCTGGGACCCACATCCCAGCCCTGTGGATGGGGGTTCCTCGTGCAACCCTGTTTGCCACTGTCCCTTCTGCCCGAGGTGACACGGTCCTGTCCCACTCACAGCCCTTCTCCAAGAGTGCCACGGAGCACGTCCAGAGTCGCCTGAGCAAGAAGCAGGTGCCCCCAGATCTCTTCCAGGTGGGCATCACCTGGGGCAGGGAAGGGGTCCTGGCCACCTGTAACACTCAGAGAGTGAATCCTTAGAGGGAGCTGGGGGTGACAGAGTCTCTTAAAGTGGGAGGGGAGTGTCCCAGGAGGAATGGAGACCCCAGGGGATGGCCCAGAATGTTGTGAGTGAGGGGGAATTTCTGGTGGTCCCCATGGGGTGGTGGGAGACTGGGAGCTGGAGGTAGCAGGGAGTCCTCACAGGGAGGTGATTGGGACCCTGGATGTCACCCTAGGGGTTCCCAGAGCTAGTGATGTTGGAATCCCCAGAGACTGAGGTGTCAGAAGCATCCCTGGGGGTCTGGAAGTGACAATGGGGGGATGTGAAATCCCAGGGGTGGAGGAGACCCCACATCATGGTGGGCTTGGGGTGACCTGGCTGGCCCTGGGGACCCAGCCCTGAGCCCCGTGTCCTCCCCAGCCCTACATTGAGGAGATCTGCCAGAATCTGCGTGGGGGCATCTTCCAGAAATTCATTGAGAGGTGAGTTGGGAGGAAATTCCCATGCACATTGGGGTGTCCCATCCCTCTGTCTCCCAGCCCAGAGAGGGACCAGGGGTCCCCACACTGGGGACTTGGGGATCTCTTCCTTTCCCTGTGTCCCGGAGGGTGCTCCCTGTCTCTAGACAAATCCAGGGAGTCTTTGAAGGGTGTGTTTCTCAGGATCTCCACTCTTGCCCTCTTCCTTGCAGTGACAAGTTCACACGGTTCTGCCAGTGGAAGAACGTGGAGCTGAACATCCATGTGAGCAGGAATCCCTGCCCCTCACCTCCCAGGGAGGAGGATGTGCTTCCAGGGAACCTCTGTGTCCCTCACCTGGGAAAACTGGGGCAGGGGTTGGTGTCCAGGCTCATGCCAGTCTCCTCTTCACGCCTGCAGCTCACCATGAACGACTTCAGTGTTCACCGAATCATTGGCCGCGGCGGCTTCGGGGAGGTCTACGGCTGCCGGAAAGCGGACACGGGCAAAATGTAATGGGAATGCTCCAGCATGGACTGTCCCGTGGGCTTTTGGGGTGCTGGGGGGTCCCCGTGGCGTTGCTGTGGTGACACCTTGCAGGGAGGGCTGTGGGAATATTGTCGTGGCTACAGGCGCCCAGGGCTGGCAGGGAGGTCACAGCTGTGGGCAGGAGCTGGGTGCTGGCCCTGCTGCTTGGACATGGTGGCTGCAGGGACTCTGTGTCCCCTCCCCAGGTACGCCATGAAGTGCTTGGACAAGAAGCGCATCAAGATGAAGCAGGGCGAGACTCTGGCCCTCAACGAGCGCATCATGTTGTCCCTCGTCAGCACTGGGGTGAGGAGACATGGGTGCTGGGCCAGGGGACAGGGACAGGGACAGGGAGGGTGACCCAGTGTCTCCTCGTCCTGCCAGGACTGCCCGTTCATCGTGTGCATGTCTTACGCCTTCCACACGCCTGACAAGCTCAGCTTCATCCTCGACCTCATGAACGGTGAGACCCTGGCCCTGAGCCACTCCCAGGGCACAGAGCGCCCTGCCCACACCTGCTCTGGGTGACAGCTGGTCCCTGTCCCCACAGGGGGGGACCTGCACTATCACCTGTCCCAGCACGGCGTCTTCTCAGAGGCGGAGATGAGGTTCTACGCGGCTGAGATCATCCTGGGCCTGGAGCACATGCACAGCCGCTTTGTGGTGTACCGTGACCTCAAGGTGACTGTCCCCACCTGCAGGGACATCCCCAGGCTTTTAGAAACCCCTTCTGTGGGCACCCACAGGTGTCACAAACCCTGCAGCAGCCCTCAGAACGCTGCGGGCACTCACCAAGCCCAAAGGGCACGCTCAGGTCTAATGGAGACCCCAACGGCAAAATCCATGGGCACCCTGAGACTTCAGGGGCCCCAAATCCCACAAAGCCCCCCAGGCTCACCACCCCCATCCCCATGGGCCACTCTGGGGCTCAGGGAGTCCCCTGGTGTCTCTGCAGCCAGCAAACATCCTCCTGGACGAGTTCGGCCACGTCCGCATCTCCGACCTGGGCCTGGCCTGCGACTTCTCCAAGAAGAAGCCCCACGCCAGCGTGTGAGTGTGCCCACACCCCTGCCCGCCCTGCCCCCCCGCCCGGGGCGGCCCCTGACCCCCCTGTGCCCCCTCCCCAGGGGCACCCACGGGTACATGGCGCCGGAGGTGCTGCAGAAGGGGGTGGCCTACGACAGCAGCGCCGACTGGTTCTCGCTGGGCTGCATGCTCTTCAAGCTGCTCCGGGGGTGAGTGTGGGCTCAGCTGGGCACAGCTGGACACAGCTGGGCACAGCTGGGCTCTGCTGAGCCCCCTCTCCCTCCACGCCACAGGCACAGCCCGTTCCGGCAGCACAAGACGAAGGACAAGCACGAGATTGACCGGATGACTCTCACCATGGTGGGTGGGGGCAGTGAGGGGGCTGTGGGCATCCGCTGGCCTTCAGGCACACACAGGGCATCAGGACAGCTGATCTTTGCCTGGAGCACACGTTTGTGCCCATCTGTGTGTCAGTGTGTGTCCCTGTCCCCACTCATCAGTGTGCTCATGGAATCTCCCGCAGGCTGTGGAGCTGCCGGACTCCTTCTCCCCGGAGCTGCGCTCCCTGCTCGAGGGGCTGCTGCAGCGAGATGTCAACCGGCGCCTGGGCTGCATGGGGCGAGGGTCAGTGTCCCCCAGGCCCCCACGGGACGGGGCAAGGTGTGCTGGCACAGCCCCCCTGCGGCCATGCTCACCTGCCCCCCTCCCTCCACAGGGCACAGGAGGTGAAGGAAGAGCCCTTCTTCAAGGGCCTGGACTGGCAGATGGTGTTCCTGCAGAAGGTGAGGGGTGTGTGCCCATGGCTGGGGACAGGGACAAGGACGCCGATGTGGGCAGTCACCCCTCTGACCCCCATTGCTGCCCACAGTACCCGCCGCCCCTCGTCCCGCCCCGTGGCGAGGTGAACGCGGCCGACGCCTTCGACATCGGCTCCTTTGACGAGGAGGACACCAAGGGCATCAAGGTACCGGGCACAGGGGACAAGCGTGGGGGCGTGGGGTGTCCTGCAGCGTCTCATCCCGGCATCCCACCCTGCCCAGCTGCTGGAGAGCGACCAGGAGCTGTACCGCAACTTCCCCCTCACCATCTCCGAGCGCTGGCAGCAGGAGGTCACCGAGACCGTGTTTGACACCGTCAATGCCGACACCGACAAGCTGGAGGCTCGCAAGAAGGCCAAGAACAAGCAGCTGGGCCACGAGGAGGGTGAGTGGGGCCGGGGACCCCCACCCCGAACCACCCCTGGCCACATCCCAAGTGCTGATCCCGCCCCCCTGTGATCCCAGAGTATGCCATGGGCAAGGACTGCATCATGCACGGCTACATGGCCAAGCTGGGCAACCCCTTCTTGACGCAGTGGCAGCGCCGCTACTTCTACCTCTTCCCCAACCGCCTGGAGTGGCGTGGGGAGGGCGAGTCACCGGTAAGGAGGGCACGGCACGGGGGGTGAGGGGTGGGGAGCACCTGGTGGGGGCACGGGGACCGGGCTGAGCCTGTCCCCCCAGCAGTCCCTGCTCACCATGGAGGAGATCGACTCGGTGGAGGAGACGCAGGTGAAGGAGCGCAAGTGCATCCTGCTCCGCATCCGCGGGGGCAAGCAGTTCGTGCTGCAGTGCGACGTGAGTGTGTCCCCCATGCCACCTCTGGCTGCTGGCCACCTCCTGCTGCCTGCTAGCCATCCCCTCTGCTGGCTATTAGCCGCCTCTTGCTGGCCACTGGCCCTGCATGTTTAGTCCTTCAAGCCGTGCCAGGGCATCAATACTGAAAACGTGAGGCAACCCCACACTTGGGGAGGCCCAACCACCCTGTGCCCTGGCCCTGTCCCCCGTCCTGACCCAGTTCCTGCCCCGCAGAGCGACCCCGAGCTGGTGCAGTGGCGGAAGGAGCTGCGGGACGCGCAGCGCCAGGCGCAGCAGCTGCTGCAGCGGGTGCCCCGCATGCAGAACAAGCCCCGCTCGCCCGTGGTGGAGCTCAGCAAAGTGCCGTTCATCCAGCGCTCCCCCAACGGGCTCTGACCCCTCCCCGCGCCCCCTTCCCCCTTCCCACCCCACCTCTAATTTATTGGGTTGGGTTCCCGCGTGTCCCCCCGCTCTCCGTGTGCCCGGGAGGGGCGGGGGGGGGGACACGCCCGGTGCCGGTGTCACCCGGGGGCGTGGCTGCGGTGACACCTGCGGCACCTTCTCCCCGGTGTGCCCCCCCGGTCCTCCAGGAACTCTCCGGCTCAGATGAAGGCAGCCCCCGTCCCTTCCGCCCGCTTCCCAGTGCCGTGTGTGCCAAAGGGGCCGGCGGGGACCCCCAGCCGGCATGTCCCCTGCTCCCTGCGCGGCTGTGCCCATCCCGTGGGTGACAACCCCTCGTGTGTGTGCGTGTGTGGCTGTGTGTGAGTGTGTGCCCAGGGGGACCCCTTGTAAATACTGTGCCACGGGTCCCCTGCGCCCCTGGCTCTGCCACTGCCCCTCCTGCCCCTCCCCAGGGCACCCCCAGTCCCCTGCCCTCCCTCCTGAGGAGAAAGGAGCAGGTGGGACCCCCTTAAATCAGCCACAGGTGGGCCTAGGGGTGCCCCCTGCCCCCCAGTCCCCGGCAGCATCTGTAAATATTGGTCTCTGGTCGCTCTGCTCCCGGGGCTGGGGGGCGCACCGGGCAGGGGCGGCACCGAGCAGGGCTGGGGCAGTGAGTGAATGAGGTTTTCATGAGCAGAGATGTGAGAATGCCAAAAAAATAAGAGTTTTTATAATAAAAAGATAAGAAAACATCATCCGGCTCTACCTCACTGCGTGGGGGAGAGATGTCTCCTTGCCCGCTGTGGGTGGCACGGAGTCCTTGTCATCTCCTGTGGTGTGGGAGCTTCCTGTATCTCCCCTATGGACACACCAGCACTTTGGGGACATCCCGGAGCATCCCCAAGCCCCACAGGATGGGAATCCCAGGCCACCGTGGGCTGCTGGGGGTTGTGTGCCCTGTTGCTTCGCTGTGCCCAGGGATGATCTTGGCTGTCACTTGTCACCAGCCAGTGCAGGTGCCACCTCTCCTGCCCACACTCTGCCTGCGGGAAGCGCGTTAGGGCGCGGCGCAGCCGGGCTGGTGCTCCGGCATTCCTGGGGAGCGGCTGGGATGGGATGGGATGGGATGGGATGGGATGGGATGGG